AATGAATTTTCACTTCACACTTTTTAGTATATCACAGACCATCATACCCATTGTCTTACAATGATGAAATTTCAGTAACTATATTTCATTAATATTTATAACAATTCTGAAAGAAATTCAGAGTTATTTTAAGCATACATTTGGCCATATAAAAGAAATTCAGAAAGATTACATGTACCTTTTATTTTTCATTCTTAAAAAGCTGGTAAAAATGACCTTACTATAACACCTGAAACTTTTGAAGCTACTACAGGAAAACCTTGGATGACAGAGGCATGGGTCCCCTTTATTGCTCAGAAAATGAGGGAAAGAATTGACAAATTAGGATGCATTAAACTAAAATGTTTCTGCACAGCAAAAAGTCATTACAATGAAGAGACAGTCTACAGAATGGGAGAAAATCTTTGCCTATTACACATTTAACAAGGGATTAATAACTAGCATATACAAGGAGCCACAAAAATTAAAGTCTAAAAGAACCAACAATCGCATTAGTAAATGGGAAAGAGGACTGAAAATGCAATTGTTGAAAGTTGTATAAATGTCCATATGTACATAAACAGATATGCAATATCTCTGGCCATAAAGGAAATGCAAATCAAAATAACATAGAGATTTAATCCCACCCCATTAAGAATGGCTGTCATCAAGAACACACAATAAATTCTGGGGAGATCTATGTGGAGAAAATGGAAGACATACCTTATGGATGAGAATGCAAATTAGTATAGCTACTACAGAAATCACTATGGAGGTTTATAAAAAAAATAAAAGGGTAAAACTATCCTATTATCTAGCAATACCATTCTTGGCTATACATCTAAAAGAATAGGAGTTACCTTATATAAAAGAAATACTTATACATTACATTTATTACATTCTTGGCTGTTCACAACAGCCAAGCTGTGGAATCTGCCTAGGTACCCAACTGTGGGTAGATAAATTAAATGTGGTATATTTTATACCACGAAGTGTTATTCATCCACAAAGATTCAAATTTGTGCACAAATATGGATAAAATAGGAGATCATCATGTTAAACAAAATAAGCCAGGTTAAGAAGGATAAGCCTCAAATATTTTATATGCATTATCTAGACATAACTACATTTACTATGTGTATAGATATTGATTATTATTATAGTAGTGGGACTGGAAAAACATGATGGTATGAAATAATAAAATATGTGTCTATGTTTAAAGATGGCATACACATACTAAAAGCTGTTGAAATGGTGAGAGGAAACCATTTGATCAAAGTATAATATACGTAGTGTGAAATACCATGATGAAACTCTTTTGTAAAAATTAGTATAAAAACAGTAAACAAGTGAAGGCTTTTAGAATTTTCTCTACTACTGCTTCCATAAACCTGCCTAATAATCACACTTGCATTGATTTCTCCTCGAATTCCTTTAGTGCTAATGTAAAGGATACATTTAGCATGTGAACTAGTTTGGATTTCTCTTTTGAACTCTCTGGAGATTATCTTCTAAATTAGATTTTAAGAGCCTCAAAAGTAAGTATCTTTTGTGCCAGCCTTTCAGCAACACATCCTGTAAGTGGGCAAAGGCTGTAGAATGGGATTTACTTGAGGAATGACAATCTTTTTGTCTGATAGAATCTGTTGTCATGGGCAGGTCTAGCTTCTCTCTTGGCAGATTATTTTAGCTCTGCCTCCTAGTATAGTTTTCACTTTAGGGTTAAGGAAGTTTTGGCTATTTGCTCTAGTACTCAGAACCTTATTCCAGGTCATACCGCATAGCTCTTTTCCTGCTGAGTGTGTGGTTCAACCTCTCAATTATTAATATTTGGCTTCTTGTACTATGGTCCATTTGCCAGTGATCAATCTCACCTTGATTAGGTGGGTTTCAATCTAGTCATGCCTGCAGATTAAGTGGATGACATAACTGTTTTTCTTCTTTTTTTTTTTTTTTGTCGGTCGTGGGGCTTGAACTCTGGGCCTGGGCGCTGTCCCTCAGCTCTTCAGCTCAAGGCGAGCGCTCTACCACTTGAGCTACAGCGCCACTTCCGGTTTTCTGGTGGTTTATTGGAGATAGGAGTCTCATGGTCTCTCCTGCCTGGGCTGGCTTTGAACCGCGATCCTCAGATCTCAGCCTCCTGAGTGGCTAGGATTACAGGCGTGAGCCACCAGCGCCCGGCTTTCTTCTTTTTTTTTTAATGTAACATTTTAACAAACTTCACTCTCCTTGAGTGACTTCTATTCATGCTATGTGCTTTTGGAACAGTATATTTAGTGTAGCAGCGAGACACACACACACATACACGGACAAAAATGGTAACATTTAATAAATGATCTTTTCTTAGGGAAATGCCAGATTCCTTATTACTATGGGCTTCTTAGCCCACAGTTTCTTGTACTACCACTAACATTTCTAATTTTCCAGCACCTTTGTTATTTGGTAAGAAGAAATATGTCAGAAACATTTTCAGAGCAGAATGTGGATTTTGGAGAATAAATTTTCTATTCATTTGATTGTACCTATGTAATAAAGTTGTAGACATTTATTGTGAAGTGTTTCAAGAAAACAATTTAACAGAAAAGCTAGATGAACATGATTAGAACAATTACAGAATGTAATTTTTGTTTTACTTCCTTTTGCCTAGATCAAGTCTCCACCATCCATAGGTAAAAGTGATTGATCTAACCTAGCAAACAAACAAACAAACAAAATTTGAATTGGGTTCAAGATTCTAACTCTCTACTGATTACAACAGGGAAGAACATCTGTCCAGCTAGCTACTTGATTAATTTTGAAAAGTCTTTGTAGTAACAACCAAGAATATTAATTTCAAAATATGACTAGGTCTGAGTTTATGCTCTAAGTTACCAGAATGAAGGGGAAAAATGACGGAGAACAGAAAAAGAAAAAGATGTGTGAAGCTGTATAACTACAATTGCAATGAAACTCTTGTTCATATTAGTTTAGAACATATATATCTGCAGAAAATTCTCTTCTCAAAATAGTCTCAGCTGAGATTATGCTTTGTTAGTTTGAAATACTCATACCAACTTGAGAGGAGTAGAGTTGTAGCTAATCCATAAGCATGTTACTAATCAGCTAGATGGAATACTTGACTTTACATAAAAAACTCAGGCAAGGCCAGGCTATTGGCTCACGTCTATATAACTCTAGCTACTCAGGAGGCTGAGACCTGAGGATCAAGGTTCAAAGCCAACCCCAAGCTGAAAATCCCCATGAGAATCTTAGCTATAGTTAACCAGCAGGAAACCAGAGTGGCACTGTAGCTGACAGTGGTAGACTGTTAGCCTTGAGTGAAAAAAACTCAGGGGCAGAGCCCATGTCCTGAATTCAAGTCCCACAACTGACAAAGGGGAAAAAAAAAGAAGCAAGATTCACTGGCATGCACTCATGTGTGCACACGTGCGCGTGCGCGCGCGCGCGCGCACACACACACACACACACACACACACACAAGCTGTATAGCATTCTTAGGTAGACAGGGTAGGAAGGGTATTTGTAACAATCACAGACTGTTATACAAATGACTACACCAAATATAATCAAATATACCACAGTTACTCATGCAAATGAAGAACTGAATTTTCACCAATCATAGCACAGTCTCTCATGCAAATGAAGGACTTTGCACCAATCACAAGCCTTCATAGGCCTTAATCTGGACTACCACAGAAAGCGCACTGCCTTCAGCATAAGTGAAAATGGAGGCAGAGTCATCCAGAGTTCACCAAGGCTGCTATTTTTTAAGGTGCTGTATTTCCAAGTCCAATGCAGCTTCTAGAATGTCCTAAGCATAATCACTCTGCAAGTTGTGTACAACAAGCCATGCTGTGAGGACAAGCCAGCTGCTTCACTGGCTGATAGTTCTTCACTCAAGGCATTCAAAATACCAGAGAAAGGCCTAACAACTGTTAATTAGGGAATCAAATAGCTCCAGCCCCCAACTTCTTAATTTATTTAAAGGAAAACCAAACATTAAAATGAAATGTAGTCTCATCTTACAAAAAAAAAAGGCTTCTTAACAGTGATTTAACAGTATTTAAAGGCCTGTAACAATGCTTACTTAACTCCTTGGCCCACTTACCCCAGGGAGAGGCGGTCCTACTAATGTGCCTAGTAAGGAACTCAGTTTTCTCCTTTTATAGAAAGCCACTGGCTAGATTTACTCAGTGTTGTAATCATATAGTCATATTTTTCCTACTTTATATGGAACTTTTCCATATAAAGTAGGAAATTTTGATACACTTGGTTCACCAAGTTCAGGGTGCTGCAATGTACATTCTGTGACCCTGAGAGTATTTATAATGTGTCTTTTTTGTTGTTGTTGTTGTTAACAAAGTTAGCTGCCCTCTAGACATCCTAAGGTAGGCTGACTCCTCTGAACAGACTTCTACCCTGTGCTTGGGTCTCAGTGAGACTCCAAGGTGAGTCCAGAGGAAATCAGAAAATGGCTGAGCTCAGGGTCCTCATGCAGCAGGGGTGTCTCCTGTAGGGAACAGATCAGGGCCCACAAGGACATGCAGTGTTGCCCTTGATCATTTCTAGTTTTCAGGAAAACAACAACAACGACCAAAACACACTGAGCAATTCGCGTATTTTGTCGATGCACCTTTGCGTCCAGCGTGGCTCTTCTAGACAATTCCAGCGCAAGCCCCAGGCCCAAACGCCCTCGGACGGATCAGCATTAGGCCACGGATCAGCATTAGGCCCTTGTTGGCTCCACTGCCTCCTAGCTCTTCTACGTCCTTCTAGAAACCAAGGCGCCCCCTGGCGCTGGACGTGCGGCGTCCACGGTGGAATCCTTCCAGGATGCGGAAGCCCGCCCAGCGTCCTCCAGAGGTGGCATCACGTGGTCTCCGGCAGCATCACGTGGCCTCTTGCCACATCTCGCGAGACCCGGCCCAGCAGCTGCTCCTGCCACCGCCGCTGCTCAGACTCGGCCATCTTGGCCATCGCCTTCCGGGCAGTCACAGAGTCCGGCCTGCACGGCTCCCACGATGTCGGGGTACATCACGTGCAAGTACAATAATGGGGACCTGGTGTTTGCCAAGTTGAAGGGCTATGCGCACTGGCCGGCGAGGATAGAGCAGATGGCCCAGCCCAACAGGTACCAGGTGTTTTTCTTTGGGACCCACGAGACGGCCTTCCTAGGCCCCAAATACCTCTTTCCGTACAAGGAGTCCAAGGAGAAGTTCGGCAAGCCCAATAAGAGGAGGGGCTTCACCGAGGGGCTCTGGGAGATCGAGAACAACCCGACCATCAAGGCTTCTGACTGCCGGGTCCTGGAGAAGAACCGCACCCAGGGGCCCAAGGTGGAGCCAGAGCCTAAGGCCCAGGAGGGCCATGCGGAACAGCCCAGCCATGCGGAAGGCAGCCGGGAAGAGGTCCCACCGGTGGAGGACAAGCCCTCCCAGGTGATGGAGAAGAAGGAGGAAGGGAAGGGGCTGCTGAAGAGGAAGGCAGACATCCTGTCGGAGGGCTGCCCCAAACGCCCCAAGGAGGCCGCCTCCCATGGTGACGGTGAGGAGGAAGAGGGGGAGACGCAGGCAGCAGGCAGCAGCGAGTACATAGAACAGCTCCTCGTGGAGGTAGAAGGTGGTGGTGCCACATCAGAACCTGACCTGGCTTGGGAGCCCGAGCTGGAGCAGCAGCAGCAGCAGCAGAAGGAAGAGGCTGGCGAGGAGAAGGCCACAGAGAAGGAGATTCCTGATGGTGAAGATGGCAATGATGACCTGTAGTCACCTTGTTTCTAGAAGAGCCCTGACCTGCCCATATCGTGTCATGGCCTCTTGCCACGGAAATCTGCAAGTGGGGAGCTGTGAACTAGATCCCCAATTTTCTAACTGCTCCTCTTCTTCACTCACCCTCTGTTGCTAACCCTGAACTCTGGAGATGGGGCAGGCCCTCTGGATGCAGCTGGCGACCTGACTCTCACGTCCCCCTTTGCCTTGTGATCGGAAGCCTCACCTCTCCAGGGAAGAAATGCAGCCACTGTGGTCTTCCATACCTAAGTGTTTTTGTTGAGGCTGGGAGGTGGCTGATATCACTTCCTGACGCTAGGCTCCCCCCCAACCCCCCCCCCGCCACCCCCATACTCCCTACCACCAGGCTTCCTGGACTTGTCTTGGAATGATGATAGGAATGAAGGAAGTAGGGGATAAAGAACAGGAGCCACTTCCAGGGACCTGGGAGCAGTGATCTTCAAACTAGTGGTGGTGGGGACATAAAGCTAATAACTAATTGACCTGTCTCCTCCAGGATCCATTATCCCAGTTTATGAGATTGGGGTGGGGGTGGGGGAAGGGAAGCGACAACTATAAGGGGAAGACTAATAAATCCTTAAGTCAGCCTGGGAAGTTACAGGATTTTTTTTTTTTATTAAAGCATTTGGAACTCCCAGATTGTTTGTGGTATCTGAGCTTGTTTTTACCCAGTTTCTTGAGTGGAAGTGGTAAGAAATAACTGCTGGGGCTACTCTTGTGATTGCCAGAAGAGACTTATTGTTGCCTCTTTCCATCTCTTCACAGCACAAGACCATTCTCCTGTCATATGTTTCACTCCGGATATTTTCTTTTTCATAAGGCATGTTAAAATGCCCTAAAATGGAGCCTTTGATGGTTATTATTAAAAGGATTCATGTCATTTTTTTTTTGGTTAAGAACCACCCTTGGATATGCCACCATTTGCTTTTAGCTTTCCTGTTGCTATTACCCCTATTTGTGAGATGAATTGAGGGATCTCTTTCTGTTTGGGGTTTGATTATTTTCTTGTGTTGTTGAGACTTTGGTGCAGTTACTTTTTATCTGTTTGCCCCATCTGGCTCCCTTAATGTCACCATATCTAATATGTAATCTACTGAGAAAACAGAAATATGTATCCCTTTCAACCTCATCCTGTTGGTCTCTCTTTGACTTTTCTCTTGACATTTTCACCCCTACTTCTCTCCTTGGGTTCTGATGAAAAATTGTTGACTATAGGTTTGGAAGTTTAGATCTGAGAAGCATAGACTAACTCAGTTCTAGGAAATAAAACCTACTGATTAAAACAAATCTCAGGCCTGTTTCTTTGTTTCTGAAGAATTGATTTCATCAATGAAACGTTCCTTTTGTTTTCTGTGTATCCTCTGTTAGAAATAACTACATACAGGGTTGTTTTAGAATGAACCCATGAGAAACCTTTGTGTTACCTTAAGATCTCTACTCTTGATTCCATCTCCTATACTCATTTTAAATGATTCCAACAAATAGACATAAAATTATTTACAATGTTTGGACAACAGAGTGGGCATTTTATTGCTGTTTTGATACTCTTCTTTGCCAAACAACTGATTTGGAGAAGAATAAGGATAATTGATTGGTATTTGTGAGATGAGATTACTTTGTCAAATAACACCTCTAAGATCTTTCTCATGAAAAAAAGATAGTTACTTTACAGTCTCAGATTAAAAATGTGTAATTTAGGATACTTCTCATTTTTTAGACATGCAAATATCTAGGTATATTTAAATGTGTTTTATCGTGTGTTGGGATCCCAAGTTCTTCAATGTTCATTACTGCATGCAGTGTTGAAGCTTTAGTCAATATCAGACATGAAGGTGTCAACAGAAGATAATCCTGTTTTCTATCTTTGTAAAAAAGTGCTATTATTTATAAGATGTGACATAATTCATATCAATTACTGGTATTACAATATTAATCCTATTCACCAAATACCTGTTTTGTGCCCATGAAGAATGGCACAGTTTTTGTTTCAGAAGTTAAATGGTTTGTCTTGTATTCCATGTATGCTTCTGGATTCTAACATGTATTTTACTGAAGTTAAATAAGTTTATTCTCTTGAATTGCACATTCCATAAGTATTAGTGGTGGGTTCAAAATTTAGTGAAGAAGCATTTTCATATTAATAAGTTTAAATAAGGACAATAGTTAATACTGAGCCAGGGAGCATACTAATTTCTATATCTAATGCCTTTATTAATTTATCTACCCAGTTAGGTAACTACAGTTATTGTAAATTTAGAGCTAAAGGAGCTGAAGTTCAAAGATAAGTAATTTTCTCAAGGCCATAAATGGCAAACCAAGAATCAGAGTCAGGTCTTTCTCATTCTAAATTATAGGTGCTTTGTTCCATTATATTTTATTGCTTCCTATTAAATAAAACTTCCTATTGAATAAGAGAGGAGCTTTTATTATCTACTATTTTGAGGTGAACATTTAAATTTGTAAGGTAAAGAATATATTAACAAACATTGCTTGTGGGTGTGTAGAAAAAAACACGGGTACTTGAAAATGGTTTGTGTTTAAATGACTTGATAAAATGACAAAAACAATTGCACATTCAATGGCTTTTAAGATGTATTTGACTACAGGAAGTTTGAATATGGATGTGTACATTTGCCATAGGCAAGCATATGATTTTGATAAGGTTTTTATGGAGGCACATCTTCTGAAATGATTCAATAACCTGAAATATAGAAATTGAAATTACTGCTATTTGAGTTCTTTGTATTGTTTCTTTCTCCTTTTGTGTTTCAAATATTAAGACAGAAAAAGTTGTTTATTTATAAGTGACACATTTGTCTTCTCAATAACTATATTACTATAGTAAAGATGGAAATCCAATTAATAATACACATAAAGAATGATATACCTAGTTACCAAACACAATTTCAAAGGATGGAGAAAAATGGTAAAATCTATATTCTCAACCTTCTTATCGTGAACAGGAGGCCCTATTTATATACTTGGGTAGCCAGGAGATATTTTTATGTGAAGTGACAAAGAAGCTGTTTAAAATTCCTTGTAATTCTGCTGCTACCCTGTTTTCCTCTGAACAACGTGTGCCTCAGTGACACAATTACTAATCAATGATGAGTTACCTTACTGAATAAAGCTTGGAGCTTAACCTTTTGTTGAAACTGTGTTGTCACTAGCCAAATGTACTCAGGAATGTTCTGAAGATCTTGTTCATGCTTTCCTTGTAATGCATGCTTATCACATTTGCAGACACATTTTGCATACTGTTTTGTGTAAGGCTTTCGAAGTATTTGATATTTCACCCAAACATCACATTAGCAAAGGTCTAAGATGTCATTCAGGATTGTAAATTTGACTTTCTTTCACCCAAGATTTAGTTTTCACTTGCTCTACAAATTTTTATTGAGGTGTGACTGCCTTATTTCTCACACCTCTATTTTACTTTTCCTAAAAATATATATTTAGACACAGGGCATACTCTGTTCATGTCATTGTCAACAGATTTGTCAAATAACGCTTCTGCTACACATTACAGGTGCATGCAGCTCCCTGCATTTAGGAAGAACTGCCTCTTCTGAGCCTTGCTAGCCACTCAAGGTAAGGATCACCTGTGTGTTCTTGCCCCATTGCTACTCACACTGCTTACATTTTAATTTCCTATGTTTTGTTTGCTCTTCCACCAAGCTCAGAAGGGAATACATATTTTTTTCCATTAATACCTTGCCTCCACTTGCAAAATATGCCAAAAAAAAAGCCTACCAGTGTTATTCTGAAATGCTTGAAGGTCTGTTATCAAATGCTCCTTGTAATCATGGTGCTGGAATGCTTCCCTTATAATCAGTGCTAGAATAAAAGCCATGATGTGATATTGAATGTATTGTGACTGAAAGCAGCAAGTCAGGGTAAACTGGCCTGTAGATTAATCATAGTGCTGGTAGACATGAGGCTGTGTCCATGTAATTAGATACCTATATTGAGTGACTTAAATAAATTGGCAGTTCTCACAGACACATAGAAGTCTCCCAGTTGATGCTAAAGCAAAGCTATTTTGTTCCTATTTGAATCACATGTCTTAGTGAAACCACACACTGGCATCATTTCTACAACACATGAGTCCCTATGTAGAGAAGGGGATGTACTAGTCACTGCCTATGTCTGATAAAAGCCATATATTATGCATTTAGTCTGTACTCTACAACAGTTAAAGGGAAGTATGCCAAAGGTATGTGGTGAAGACAAGTCATTGTAGAAACCTCTCAAGATTTAATGTGTTTAAAAGGAATGGGATCAATCCTACCACAAATATTCCTGGTTCCCATCTCACAAGCCAGATAGCTATCTTGGATATGAACAGTTAGTTTCTTCTGCTGCTGGTGGAAAAGCTGATTGTATTATCCATTATGACCTCTGAGTTAGAGACATCCTAAGTTATTTCCTAGGCTAATTCTGGCAAGTTATTTTCTTTATGTAGTCTGATTTTATATGAAACTCTGATTTTACTGAAATGGTCTTGAGAATGCCAGAAGTCACAGCAAAAATTCCTCAATGGCTAGAAGCAGTGTTGGGCACATTGTTGACCAATGAGAGTGCTAGCCATAGAATTATCTAGATTTTGGAATAGAGACCAATAAAAACAAATTTCATTCGCTTCACTACCCTGGGGTAGAGTAAGTAACCAGGCATCTGGATCATCTGTGAATAATCGTTTTACTTTAGCTTCAGTCATTTTGAGACAAGCCATTTCTTTTCACCCAGCTGTTTCCTTCTTTCTCCTAAAGAAACTTTTTCCAAATGATTTTCTCAGAATTAGATATTGCTCTAATAAGTTTCCTCTTAACACTTTCTTTTCCACTGTCTTAAAATTATCTTTTTATTGGTTTTTATCAACCAGTAGACCTTATATTGTATGTAGACAGGAAGTATGATTATTTTCTTATTCTAAAAACTCAACTAAGTGCCTCATTCATATTAAACACTCAATA